ATCAAAATCTAAGATTGTTCCCAGAAGAGTAGTAATTTCCTTTTCCATTTCCGCACAGAGCGGCAGCTGCCCTGAGCAGCCCTCGCTCTATTTGTGGAGTTTTTTTTTTTTTTTTTTCGAGTTTTTTAGGTTTTCTGTGTTGCTTTGTGTGCTATGTCGCTTTCCCATAAACATTTGGGGAGTTGGGCTACCAGGAATACAAGTTTTATTGTGTTTGCATCTCAAGGACATTAAACCATGCTGGGGTTCGTAGATGACACAATGGTCATTAGTCTCATCCATGATGTGGACAAACTAGTGTACAGACAGGGAGTGTGGTGCAGTTGCAACAACCTGGAGCTGAACACACTCATAACAGTGGAGATGACAGTGGACTTCAGGAGAAGCCCCCCAACCCCCACCAACCCCACCCAGACCATACTCAACAGAACTGTATCAGTAGTAGAGTCCTTCAAGTTCCTGGGCTCCACAATCTACTGGGACCTGAAGTGGACGTCCAACATCAGCTCTATCACCAAGAAGGCACAGCAGAGGTTGTACTTCCTGCACCAACTTAGGAAGTTCAACCTGACTCAGGAGATGCTGATACAGTTTTACAGAGGAATTGTCTGTTGTCTATTGTCTGTTGCCTAAAACACACTGAGAACCTCTGTGCCGGAGACAAATTTCTTCTATGCTCAACATACTTAGCAATTAAAGCAGATTCTGATTCTGATAGTGCTAACACAAGAGGCAGTGTGACATTTATCTTCACATGTCACACTGACTAATCCATATCTCTGAGTAATGTCTACTCACCGTCTCTGGAACATAACCACTTTATCAGCCTTCAGGTCAGACACATCCAGTTTCTGGCCCTTCTCAATGACATCAGGATGTTTGCGAACCAGCAGCCAACCAACGTGGGAGAAGAAGAACCCCCGCTTGGCATTGTGGGGGTCTGCATCCGTCTCAGAGTACTTGTGGTGGGCACGGTGGTCCCTCGACCACTCATATATGTCATTCTGCACACACAGAGACATGCACAGATAGAGAGAATTACACGAGGCACCAGTCAATATGTATGGAAGCTTCATACAATCACAGTAAGGTCTAGGATCATGTGGTAACAATACAAAAAATGTAACACAAATTACATTCATTTTACTGAAATCTGAAAATTGTTTTAGGATCTTTTTATGTTTTACCTGAAAAGCCATTGAGTTGCAGAGAGCGAGGAAGATTCGCAGGGGAAGTGAAGCCTTATATGATCTGTGGCACCATAACCTGTGAGCACCAGCAGTCACACTGAGAGCACTGAAGAGGTAGCACACTGCAGCTGGAAGAAAATGTGGAAAGCACAGATATCTTAGGATAAACTGGCACCACTACACTGAGATTAATTTTACACCTGTGTGAGCATAGTCACTGAGAGTCACGATGCTCTTTCCATTACACTCAGGAATCTTTGTTCTGAGAAAAGCCATCTATGTTGGCAGATGGGATGGTGGGAGCATGCAGGTCCGCCCTCACACTTTTGTTATTCTAAAACTGCTGAATGTGTTTCTATGTGAAGTCCAGACAAGACTACCCAGGATTTGAGAACTGGGGACTTCTTACTGGCAAAGACCATTCTGTTGTGGTGTCATGAGACTCACAATGGGATGCCTATGGGAACAGTGATTGTGCTTTGTCTTCCCCGGTGAATCAATATGCAGTTCAGCATAGCAAAGAGAGGGAAAAATTATGCAGTGCCAGAATGGAAACAAAGTTGAGACTGCTCAAGAATTTGAGCCAAGCCTATATAGTCTATAGGGCACAAATTCACATTATTCAACAAAAAGTTTGGTTAGCACAACTGAATTTCAGATCATTTTGATTAGGATATGCACACATTCCAACAATCGCAAACAGCCTACATTCAGCCACAGCTCAGAGCCTTTAGAGAGGGGACAAATAGATCTGGAGGCTTATGGCATCATGAAAATGATATGCTCCAGTTAGCAGTGATCACACAACATCAGGACATTCTTCTCTCAAACTGTGGCCTGCAGGGAGGAAACGAACAATAAAATGTTCTTTACTACATACTTACTCCATGCAAGAGTTAAAGCCGATGCTGAGGGAATAAGAGTCAATCCATAGAGGGCACCCATATGCAGGAGTGTCATCAGTATTATATTTCTCCACACCAGGATCATCGGCGGTTTCGGACCGTCTTTCTCTTTATAAGTGTCGTCAAAAACATCGTCTACCGACGGGGTTTCTGTTATGGCATCTCCGTTCCGGTGCTTGGCGCCGTGATAGCTCCCGTTTTCCATTGCGGTCATTTTGCTGAAGGGATTTCTGTAACATTGTGCAACAGGTAAGGTGAGAGATGCTGCTGCTCAGTTCAGTGCGCTCAATGGGATGCAGAAAAAGAGAGAGGGGCGTACAGCGGCTGGCTGTGCACAGGCAGCAGTTCACGGTTCAATGCTCCAGCTGCTGCGCCAACATCGAAAGTAGCCGCTACACTTTACACTTTATGATAGTAGGTTTATCAATTCCCACTGGCACCAGTTCTTACTGTCATATCCTTGTAATAATTATACAGAGTGAAATTTATGCGCACAGTGTTTTATAAGACAATATACCACTGCTTGTCTTTAGTGTCATATGGAGATGCTCTGTGGTGAATTAAGTCTACCAGGGTCAGGACAACCGCCTGGGGACCCCAGTAACCCCAGGTTTAGGCTACAAGTCTATAGAGTCTATGCTTAATAGCAAATTGAAATATTTGTAACCTACTACTGACATAGATTAGGTGAGATGGGACGACGTGACTTTTTCTTGTGTAGTAGCCAGTGGTGGCATATGCCAGTAAAGACTCGTAATACACCGTTACGAGGTGCTCATGTTTATAAAAGCAGTGACATTTATCGCTAGCACTTAGAATCGTCATATCTCTCTAAAAATGCCAGTTCAGGTTATTTAGATTTTAAATGAAAACGTACCCTTGAGCCTATTCGCCGTGCGCTCTCCAAATATTGGGAATCCTGGAGCAATGTGATGTAGTCGAAATAAATCAGCGTTAATAAATCAGTGCGTTGATCCCTCTTTTATAAAACCCTCTGCAGATGTTTTTTTTTTTAAACAATTGGTCGATGGCGAAACTGATGCCCGGTCAGAATATCCCATTGGTTGTTCGCTTAACTGCTCTTTGCCGCCCTCTCTGTTTCTTAGCCCATCATATAAGGAATCCATAATTGCCCAATCTTTCAAATCACCGCCCAGATCTAGACAATCTCTACTCTTTAATCGGATGATAAGCAGGAGTTGGGAAAGAAGGATTAGCTCATATCACCCCATGATGTCCTACAACAATGAGGCCACTCCTGACCCTTTAACTCACATGTCATCCTCCAAGCAAGTACAGGCACTGTGGGATTCAAGTGGAACTTAACTTTGTTTTACAAGCTTCAGTTAATTTTAAAACTAGTCTACACTGGCATCATTGCAAAATGTGTTTAAAATAACAAGTTTTGGCAGATACAGTGCATTGTACCAGTAGAATACTGTAGCGTCCCGCAGGACACAAGGAAGACAACCTTGAGTGCCGACGAATAGTCGCTTTTTATTAACTCCACACAACCGGTTACTGTTGGCCGTAACCACGCCAAAACAACAACCCAACAACAATAAGAAAGAAAAACAGCCTGCTAACACCCTTTGTAGCTCAAATTCCCCCACACTTTACTCCCTCCTGCTCTCACACCTCTTAACCCCTGAAGCTCCACACCCATCAAGAAACCATAACAATTTAGAACATCATAACATGCCCAGTGAAGGATCACTACACTGCCCCCCTTCCCCTTCGCCCACCACAAAGTCCCTCGCCCGGAGGGATAACATAAAAAGTCCCTGAGGTGACCCAGGGCCCGTGTCTGCCTCCGAGGCCGCTTTGGGGTGAGCACAAACCGCTGTGCCTGTGGTCTTGGAACATCCTGTTGGCGTGCAGGGGGTGGGTTCAGGGGTGGCGAACTGCCAGGATGAACAGTTCGCGCATCTGGGTGTGTGGTCGACACACTTCTCCGGGAGGCGACTGTCTCTGCCTCCTGGTCTGGTATGGCGTATGCCTCCGGCCATTTTGTAGAATAGTCCATGGCGGCCAGGACATAGATAAACAGTGATTAAACCTAATAAACAACTTTGTGTAATTATATGTTATAAAATGGTGACCCGGTTACATTCACCCCCCTAGAATTACACAAAATTACAAAACCATACAGCAAAGCACCTGCAAACGACATATATTGGTCAAAAAGGAATATATGACCACAAACGTGGACAAGGCTGGAATGAGGAGCCATCTGCTCAAAGACTGAGAGACCATGGAAACCAGCTAAACAAATCGTGGTGCCTTTTACACCACACGAAATGACCATTTACAATATGCACAAAAACATGGACACACTGTCCAAATGAGCAACAGCAAGTACTCACTACAAGAAAAAAATATCACAATCTGCGATTACTTCTGTGTTACAAGAGGAACAAAGAAACAATGAAAATTCAGACAACAATAACTAGAGACTGAACTTTCTCATCACCAAAAACAGACTCATTCTGAGTCATAGACTCAATCAACTGACAGACTGGCCTAAAGAGTCTGCCAAAATGTGTAGTAAGTCTGTGGCCCAGGCCAGTATCTTGTGGGTCGTTAGAGACACCTGGGTGACTTCGTAACTCATAAGAGGGAATCAAAAGAGCACCAGCACCAGCCCACCCAACAGAGGCAGGAGAAGACTCATCAGGGGGAGGCAGACCTTCTCTTTCAGCAGGCGAATGATGCCTGACCCAGGGGGCAGTATGGTCATCATCAACCTCACTGACGCTCGGAGGAGTCTCATGATGGTAAGTCATAGCCAAAGTGGACCCTCCATCTACCATAGACGTATCTGGCTCTTCAGGGGCAGTGACAACACTAGCTGTGGGTTGATTCTCCAAGACATCCAGTGACACGTCCAAGGGCAAGAAGTTGACTTGAAGGAGAAGGTTGCGGTGGACTGTGCGCTCATTCCCAGCCAGATCTCTGATCCTGTAGATGTGAAGGTCAGGCTTGCAAGTGACCACATTGTAAACAACAGGCTCCCATTTGTCTGACAGTTTGCGTTTGCCTCTGGCTCCCTTGTTTGCCACCAGCACCTGGTCTCCTACCAACAGAGGTAATCCTTTGACTTTCTTATCATACTGCTCCGATTGATGTCTCTGCTCATCCGCACTGTAATCTTGGGCCAGGACCATGGCATAACGGAGATCATCCATGAGTGACTTTACGTAGGTGT